ATACAGAAATAGACTTTAATTTGTCATTTATTTCTAATTTCCGTTTTTTTGTTTTTTTTTTTTTCTCTTAAAACGTTTTTTCTTCTTATCTATCTTTAATTATAGTTTTTTTTTCTTTTATATAACTTTAATTGAAGTTTGTTTTATTTTCTTTAATATAACTTTGATTGATGTTTGTTTTATTTTCTTTAATATATCTTTGATTAAGGTCTATATATATATATATATATATTAAGGCCTAAAATTTATTTACTTTCTTTATTGTTTTTTATTCATTTTTAAAATTTTATAATTTTTTAATTTTAAAAAAACTGAAAATTTTACTTTCAAATTTTAGTGAATATCAAAGTGACTACATTTAATTCCATTCATCATCAATCATATTATTTTTTCTTACTTCTTCTTGATTATAACTTTCATTTATATCATTTCCTTAATGCTCTTTTTTTTTTAATAAATTTTTTTACCTTTTTTAATTTATTTTTTTACAAGAAATTAGTTATTATAACATGGTAAGAATCACATGTATATTTTTTTTTATGAAATTTAACTTTTTTAATTTATATCACTTCTTCGGCTAAAGATTCATATATATGTGTAATAATAAAATTAAAAATAGAAAATGATGACAACCTTCTTATTTAAGATATTTGTTTATTTTAATCAATTTTTTTTGACATTTTCTCTTATATTTTCCTTAGTAATTGTTAAAAATTATGTGGAAGTTTATTTATTATTTTTCTATTATTTTTATACTTTTTCAAATTTTGAAAAGACTAAAAATTCTACCTCAAAACCTTATTGAATTATCAAATACCCCCATATTTAAATCATTTCATCATTGATGCTATTAATTTTTTAAAATTTCTTTCCTTAAATTCATCAATAATGTTATGTGTATCATTTCCTTAAGTCATTTCTTTTCCTTTCTTTTTTCTTTTACTTTTTATTTCTTTATTTATTTCAAAAAATAATTGTCATAAACTGCATAAAAAGTGTATTTTTTAAATACATATAAATAGAATTTGATTTGTCGTTTTTATTTTGAATTCTTAGATTATTTCTTCTACTAAAGATCGATATCTATATGTTATAAGTATATCAATGTTGTTCTTAAATAAATGTCTATTGAAATATAAAAATAAAAATAAAAGTATAATAATGCTATGATTGACCCAGTATCGACTAAGAACAACATTGATACTGGGTCATTCATAGATTATTTCTTATTATTTGATTCTGAGCAAATTAATATCAATGTTGCTTTTAGTCGATACTGGGTCATTCATAGTCAAATTCCATTGGAGTAGAAAAGGTTCGTATACATGAAAAGTTATTAAATCATTGTCCATGATTATATATAATTCATATATAATATTTAAAATTATTAATTAAAAAAAAAGACAAAAATAAATAAATAATGATAAATGAATATAAATCAAAATCAAAATAAAAAAAACAAGAAGTAAAAGAAGCATTATTAGTGTCTGTTTGGGTTAACTTATTTTTAGATATTTTTAACTTTAAACTCTTTTTTAATTGTGGAGGTATTTGAAAAGGTTATAACTTGTTTTTAAGGGCTCACTTTTAATCCAAAACAAAAGTTCTAAAATAAGTCAAAAGTTAAATTCCATCTATCGAAAAAAATTGTCCGGTTCCACCAAGAAAATCAAAAGGTAACAATATGTTTGAAAGAGAGGCTAGAGATGATAGAATATCAGAATTGCCTGTGCATATCATTCATCACAGCTTATGCTACTGCACTAAACTCAACTTGAAAGAGGCGGCGAGAAGTTGTATCTTGTCCAAGAGATGGTACTATTGTTGGATTTCAAGACCTCATCTGATATTCGATCAATTTGAAGGGAACAAATATATGCCCCCAGAAAAGTATGTCAAGTTGGTTGATCAATCCCTGCGATCCCATGTCGAACAAAACTTACGTCTTGAACTATTAATCCTTGGATATCGTGATGAAGAATTGGATTCTCACTTAGATACTTGGATTGAATTGGCGGTTAAACTTAACGTCACACTATTGGGGATTTCCCTTCCCCTTTTGATATCGTTACCTGATGCTATTTATGCTGCTAAAAAGTTGACGGTATTGTGGTTATGCAGGTGCAAGTTTGAATTTGATATTAGCACTACTTGCATAAGATTTTGTTGTCTTCGGGATCTTTCTTTGTATGATGTCCATATTTCAGATGACCAATTGCAAAGACTTATCGAAAGATCCCCGTATATCAGGAATCTAATGCTACAGAATTGCCAGGGTATAAGCAAATTACATGTTTTTGGCCTAGTCTATCTCGAGGATTTGGCTGCACAATATAGCAAATTCGATAGTGTGATAGTCCAAGCCCCAAATCTTCGATGCTTTACATATGCAGAACATGAGGACAATTTTCTTCCTCGTGAAATTGCTATTTTGGATGGTTACAATACTTTACAAACACTCAAGCTCACTGGTGCCAACATCACGGACCAACAGTTTCGAGATTTATCCTATAAGTTCCCAAACATTTCAGAATTGAATCTCACAGAATGTTATAAGCTGAAAAATATAGAGATTCAGAGTGAAAAACTAAAGATATTCACCTTATTAAAGTTGAAGAGTCTGGAAAAAGTCACGGTTCAAGCTCCAAATTTATTGGAATTTGATTTTGTGGGTGATAAAATGCCCTTCTCATTTATGGATCCTTCTTCCCTGGAAAGAGCCCAACTCGTTTTCTCCTCGCTGAGCACAAACTTGTTGGGTTTAGCAAGGTGTGAATGGGAAATAAAAAGAGAAAATGGAAAGTGGAAGAACCAATGAAAATGGGGGAACCAATTTTGGAGGGAAAATGAAAAGTCATTGCAAAAGTGCAAATGAATAGTCATTTTTACCATATTGGTAGAAGAGAGGAAATTGTTGTCCTTATATTAGGAAACACTTCCTTTAGTTCTTTAAAGGGTTAAGAAGAAAGTGCCCCCTCGCGCCGTCGTCGCTCGCCGCTCGAACTCGGCCTCGGCTTCGGCTTCGGCTTTGGATTTGATTGATAATATTTTTGGACAAAATTTATTTAATCAATCTTGTTAAATCATTTCCTTTCTCTTATAAATTAATTCAGAATGTTGGTTAACTAACAGAATTAATTTGGCGCAACTGAATTTATTTGAAATTCACGTGTAACGGTAATCCTTCCGAAAAGTCGTTACCTTC